TGACATTTACAGCATCTGTGAAATTTTACACCCAACAATAAAAAATGTCAATTTATATATTTCAGGAGCAGGCAGCAAAATTAAAGGCCCAGCTTGAGGCAGCGAGGGAAGCTAAGAAAAATGCACCAGCTGTTCCTCAAGGTCAAGGTCGAAAGAAACATGATGATGATGACTTTGTGACCTTGACCCGAACTGATAGGTCAGGGTTAGCTCGGCCTGTACCAGACAGTCAGCATCCTGTAGAATCGGGAGGAAAGAGGAGAAGGAAAAAGCAAAAGGTAAGCTAACAGTCACAAAGAGTAACATTGAACCAAATAAGATAGAAAGAAAGTTTCTAGGGACTTTTTTAGCCACTTTTATTCAATTTACACATTTATTTAGATGACAGAATTTGAGAAATACATGTACTTGAGTCACCTTTCATAATGGAGGTTATGTCTTTATAAATGAACATTAAAATGATGAATTATTTTGTAGAGATGAGTATGCAAAATTTTGCCCCCATTGTTAAAGGGTTCAAAGCCATAACAGGCAAAACATACTTTTCTGACAGTGTACTGTGAAGCTGTCTTTCCTTAGTTCAAAAGAAAACTTGAAATATAGTGTGTCTGTTTTTAACATGAAAATTGCATATATAAGTGAATGGAATAAAATATTTCATAATACAATATTCCGTGTAATACCTGCTATTTTTTTAGATTTTCTTTATAGTTTCTACATGTCCGCACCAACTTCAAATTTTTTTTAAACATTCTTTAAATAAGGTATTCTTGTCATGGTACATGAGAGAGAATATTACATGAGTGGGCTATTCTGATAGATTGTATTGCTTGGATTATTACGTAAAACCGACTATTCCCATGAGTCTGTACTGCAGGTGTGAATACAACTGTACACATTCAATGAGGGTGATATCATCTTCACAAATAGCATTTTCATGTAATTGTTCTTTTCTTCCATGCCTTCTGAAAATCTGATGAAACTCAAGGAATTATATTTCCTTAAAGGCCCATTATGCCTCAGAAATGATTTTATTTTTATTTCTCAAAAGTTTTTCATGATGTTGTACTTTTAAAGTTTCCAAAAAGTTACCAATTGGCTAATTACCTGAATGATCTTTTGCACCTGTTTCTCTTTGGTAATAAGTAATAGAAAGAGCATCTAAACACAAGGTTATCTGATTTGTACAAGGGGGTTTAGCCCTCAAGTATAAATCAGATTGCCGAGTGTTTTGATGTTCTCTCCCTTTTGACTCATAGACAAACATAAAAACATGTTCCCCATTGTCACAGTATTAAACCCCAGAAAAAAGTAACCAATGTGCGAGCATCTGAATATGACTTTTCTATCGTTATCTCTTTCCCTGTTGTTGCAATATGTAAACCCCAGGAAAAATTAGCCAATCAACGAGCATGCTCTAGACATACAGTGAGTGTACCTGCACTCCAGTTAAAGCACTGTGCATGTATTGGTATACCATTTTACTCTGACATGTTTTCAATAGTAAAGTCTCCAAACTATGATACAAGTACAGTTATAGCGAATTATTTTTTTATATGAGACAAAATAAAACTTTATTTACAATTTCCTACATTTATGACTAATTATTTCATATTTATTGCTACTTTCTTCAGGTAACAAGCATCTAACTCTAAAACCTTTATTTAAGCATAATAAAATTTATGTTTGCCCTTTCTTAAGAAGTAAAAATTTATTTATTTCTGAGGCATAATGTGCCTTTAAGAATATATGTAAGAATATATAATGTAAATGCATATGAAGTCACATCTTGATCAATAATTTAATGAAAATGATGTACATCAGTCATGTATTTTCATCAGAAAACATACTCATGTATAATAAGTATGATTGTTCTGCTGTGTACGAGATGCTTGATATAGTTTTACCTCTGTCAAAGCTTATTTGAGCCGTGTCATAACAAAACCAACATTGTGCGTTTGTGACCAGCATAGATCGGTCCAGCCTGCACATCCCCGCAGTCTGATCAGGATCCATGCTGTTCGCTATCAGTTTCAATACTTTTAATAGGGTTTGTAAGCGAACAGCATGGATCCTGATCAGACTGCGCGGATGCAAAGGCTGGTCTGGATCCATGCTGGTCGCAAACGCACTATGTTGGTTTTGTCGTGACGCGGCTCATATATTCATACCTGTAATGATATGTTATGCAAGTAGAACACTCTTCCTGTCTGATGATTACTAGTGGTCATTCTAATGATTATGATCTTCATAAGATAATAAATTGATTTACCTAATAACTTTTTTCTGATAAATATTTTAAATTGCCACTCTGGTAAATGAAATAATTTCTTACATATCAGACAAGAAAAACCTGTCATACACCCACTATGTGTGACAAGTCATGTGTTTTAAATGACGTCATTCCCACACATCCTTTATGAATGAATTGCATTCTTAGGATGACGTTATTGTGATGTTATGAATGAAGTTATATATGCTACTATAAGAAATATCATTAATTTGTAATATGCAAGAAAAAGAATCCAACTCCGGCTGTCGTCACAAACAAGAATATCTAGGCTCTTGGGTGACTGTTTAGAAGAAACTCAGCAGAACCTCATTACTGCTGTAAACAGTTACCCTCAAGCTAGATATTCCTGTCTGTACCGGCAGCCGTTGTAAGATCCTAATAAAATTGACTAACCTAATAAGTTTTTTCGGTTTGATAAATATTTCAGATTGAGACACACACTGGTAAACAAGGGGAGAGAACTCAATATTTTGATGATGATGACAAGTTTGACCTTAAAACACTGGTGAGTTCTTTTTATATGTATTTTCTTTAACCATTTCTACATTCATGTATTTATTCTAAGTTTGATTAGAAAAAATACAAATTTTCTTAATATGTCAAGATTTTTATATCATTTAATGTATATCTATACCAACGCAAAATTAAATCATTTGCTGACTGTTGTTCCAGAATTATCATTCTTACTGTGTAAATTGACTTAAAAATTTAAAAATTCAAACGCTTTTAAATTAAAAAGAATTCTTATTGAAATACTTTATGCTTTTTTTCCCCAACAAAACATTCACAGCCTCTGGAAAATAAGATGGTTAAGTCATGGTTTAATTATGGTCATGTAACTAGTTTTTTAAACATGGATACATGTTTATCATTCAGGTTGAACGAGAGAAAATGGGTACAGCAGAAGATCAAAACCAGATGTTTGCCAGACTGGCTGGAAGGGTATGTTAAAAAATTATGAAATTTACCAGTTATAAAATTGTGATGTCATGGTATTTTGTTTTAAATGTATTCATTTTGATTCAAAATGCATGTCTCTTTGCTCTTAGTTCACACTAAAACACAGTCAAACTAAGTGTGACCAAATATAAGTAAAGATGGCCATAGTTTTACTCAAATCTTATTTCACACAAAAATGGATGGTAATGATTAGAAAGTTATACATTTAAAAAGATATTATTTTCCCTTTAACCCTTAAAGCAGCATGCCTTCAGATGCATGCTAATTTTTGTGAAAATTTTAAAAAAGTTTTAAAAGTAAAGTATTGTGAAGTGAACAAAGAAAGTAATTTACATATTACAAATGGCACTTACAATCCATGTACATTTCCAAAAAGAGGTAAAAATATGCAAAAGTAGCCCTAACTGCGTTAGTTACACAGTAGTAATATGGTGATTAATACTTCAAAATCAGTCAATAATTGCACACAACATGTAAATCATTACTTGAATCTTGATTCTTTTTACTTTTCTTTTAAATCTTAGAACACTTTATCAAGTTTGTTTTTGTTGAAATATTTTGGTTCTTTTGGAGACATGCAGCTTTAATACTACTTTTTGGTTTGAATTTGGATTTACAATAGTAATTGCAGAGATGTGACTATGGATACAAATGTAACAATATTTATTAGCTCCCTTGACAAAATAGTTAGCTCCCTTGACAATAGTGACAGCTATATTGGGGTGGGGGTCATTATTCAATATATATATCATTAAAAAAAAGAACATTAGGGAAATAAATAGCTAATTTTGGTCAATTATAAAATTCTCATACATATGTGAAGAAAAAATTCATTGAAGCACCAATATAAAAATGTTTTCAACAGTTTACATAAAGATCACAGAATAGTGACAGATTTTTATGTTATCTTTAGCATATGATATACATGTATCAGGAATGACATAAATTGGTGACCAGGGGAAGTAAAGCAATTACATGAACATGAAAAGTCTCTGTACAAGAGGAATTTGCAAGTTAATATCTCTGCGAGGAATTAAAAGGTTAAAGGGGCAACATTCGCTGCCGCGGCAGCGAGTATTTGTGGGTGTGGCTAATCAGTGATGTAAAACTGTCTGTTATAAACCATGAGCTAAAAATAGAATGCAGTGTTAACCTGCAGAGAGAATGTAAACAAAACAGCATATTTTACACAGGAGAGGTTTAATGGATGTTTTATATAACTCACAGGTTAATCAGATTAATTAAAAGACATTATCAAGCCATCTTGTCCAGATATTATTTTTGAAGTCAGTTGTTTTTCATCAAGTCAGACAACTATGTCCAAATCCAAAGGATGTGCCTTACATGGGACATTTCTTTTAAGAAAAACTGCTAAAAATGATCTTGACAGGAATTTAAAATATTTTTAAACTATTAATATATAAAGATTTTATACAAATGATAAACATTTGTGAAATGTAATTTTGACTACAAGATATTTACAACAAAATATAGTGTAAATGAAATATAGAATAGAATAGAATAGAATACGTTTATTCAACAATAAGGAATTGAACTTACGTTCCTCTTCCATACATGCAATTACATATAAACATAGGTCAATATACATGCATAAACATATTATAGTTATATATTCATAATTTTACATATTATACAATTTACAAAACAAAAAGGAAAACATCATACTACAAGACATAATCAAAACTATAATCAAAGGTAGAGGATGAGCCATAAATATTATACGTTAGTACTAGCATTGCGAAGTTTTGATGCATGAAATAAATAGGAGGTCAAATTATTTAACACAGATTTCTTCTTTGATTTTAACAGTTCGCAAAATTTCCACATGCTCGGTTTTTTCCAATATTTTTTTGATATATACTGTTTTCTTAAGTCACTATATTTTTTACACACCAGAACATAATGGTATTCATCTTCTATGTCCGTGCTAGATTCACATATTTGACAAAGTCTTTCATTCCTGTCTAATCTATTTCTACCATAGCGTCCGGTTTCTATCCTAAGATTGTGTGCCGATATTCTTAGTCTAGTTAACAAATAACGTTTGCTTTTCGGCAAGATATTTAGATACTCTTCGTAACAGAATTCAGTTTTAATATGTCTATATAATGAACACAATACACTGTTATTGCTTATATTCTCCGACCATTCTTGTTTATAACTGTCAGTCAGTCTTTGCTTAAACTCCATAAGAAAATAATTGGATTGTACTGATAACGGATTTTCCCATACATAACCAAAACCGTATGAATATAGGATATTTCTTATATTACTAGTCCAATTTGTTTTCCCGTTATTAAAATCCTCTAATGATATGTCATACAGCTCTTTCAGAATACAGTTATCAGAATTGTTAATCTTTAACCAGTATTTTACTGCACGAACATAGCGGTTAATAAATAACGGATACCTTCCTAGTTCGCCGTAAATGCTAGCATTGCTTGAACTTATTTTCACATTTAAAACCCTTTTTACAAAACTTTAAATGAATGCGCTCTAATTCTTTAGATTTTATTACTCCCCATACCTCGCATGAGTAGTTCAAAATGGAAGCAACAAAAGCATCAAATAACTGACAATACGTACTTAGTTTTAAATCAAAGTGTTTAATGTTGTTCAATAAGAAGTTCAAAGCTTTAAGACCTTTACCAGCTAGAACGTTTTGATTTGAATTGAAACTTCCAGACGAGCTAAATACGACTCCTAAGTAATTAAAATTTGAAACAGTTTCCAAGTTAACACCATTATAGGTCCATTTTTCGTTTTCTTCTGGGTCTTCCTCCCTTTTTTGAAGATGATTACTTTAGTCTTTTCCGTGTTAACTTCAATACCCATAATTTACAGTACTCACTCAATAAATCTAAATTTCTTTGTAGATCATCCGGACTTTCGCCTAAAATCGCCATGTCGTCTGCATACATAAGAAGCATTAATGTAACTTCTTTTAACGTTATTCCATTTTGATTTTCTTGTAAATATATTTCGATGTCTTCAATAAACAGAGCATAGAATAATGGCGAAGTTATGTCCCCTTGTTTCAAGCCTATAGCAATATTGATAAAGTCAGAGTATTTTTCACAATGTTTGATTTTACTCCTCACTTCAGTATACATAGATCTAAGCATACGGAGCATCTTTCCAGAAATCCCTAAATTATACAGCTTATACCATAAAGCATTTCTGTTAATAGAATCGAAGATTTTCTTCATATCTACCATAGCCACATATAGTTTTTTTTTCCATTATTCAACATTTTTTTTCCCCCTAAAGTATGAAGGGGGCAAAAAAGCGTTTTTTTGGTAAAAAAAAATTCCGCGTTTAAAACCCAAAATGCGCATCCGTTTTTAATATTATATTTACGGGAAACCAAAAAAGGGGTAATTTCTGTTTTTTTAGAAACTGAGGGAAAACCCAATTTAGCTTTTTACAACTTTTTAAAAGTTTTTTTTAACCGGCGTTTAATTTTTAAACCTTTTAGTCCCCTTTTTTATATAATGGTATAAATAAACCCCTCCTCCATTGATCCGGGAAAATATCCACTATAAAAATTGTTAAAAAAATATCAACAATATTTTCCGTTTAAAAATATTCCCCTGTTTTTTTGAAATATTCTTTTAATCAAGGGGTCTAAGGAGCCATTTTTTCCGCGTTTTAGAGATTTAATCGCTTTCAAGATTTCATCTGACGTAATAACCCCGTCGAGCTCTTCATATATGACGTCATTATGGTTCAGATTTCTCTTACAAAATTCCTCTGCGTCGTGATTGCCTGAGATTGAAATTTCCTCAGATATCCCTTTAAAATATTCGTAAAAATCGGCTATATCAATATTTTCTCCTTTTCTGCATTTCTTTTTTTGAGAAGTACGACCAAAATGCTTTGGGATTTTTTCCACGTAAGTTTTCAATTTCGGGACATTTTCAACTTAGTATATATTTTTTTCTTCCTCTTCAAAACAGTTTTGTACTCTCTCTTTTTTAGATTAAAATAATTTCTATTTTCGTCTGTTTTCGTACAATTAAACAATTGCAATGCTTCGAGGTATTCTAATTTCTTATTATGACATTCGTTGTCAAACCACTGAGACCTTTTAACAGGATATTTTTTGTGTACAAAGCCTGTTTGTTTACGTTTCTTTACTGTTGTTTTGAACAGCGGAGAAGCAACATTGTTTATAAGACTTACAAAATCACTAACACATTTGTTTATAGATGTTTTATCACAATTATCATGACCAATTAGTATAGCATTAAAAAATCGGGTAGTTTCGATATCAAAGATCTACGAAAAAGCGTCTCTCTTATCGCTGTCCCCAACGTATACAAGTATCCCCACCGTGTGTTTGTTGGTCAAAGTGATCTTTTAGTCCTCCACTATTAATCGAGAATGCTAACGGGTGCGTGATCTGAGAACTCATTAAACTCTTGTTGTTTTCAAAGGAACTTATTTGATCAAAACTGTCTTCTTTACACAAATCAGATAATCGATTGTACTACAGCCACTTACACTGTTAAAAAGTAAATGATTCACCATTTTCCAATCGACCGTTACAAATTCGTATACCTGTACTTTTACCACAAATCTATTAATTGTAATCCATATGAATTGCTAGTTAAGTCCACTGAATGCCTTAATAAAGGTTTATCGGGACAATAATCGGCATCATTTAACGATGAAATATTTGCATCAAAATCAATATAATCTTTCTTACATCCGACTCTAGAGTTTAAGTCTCCAGCGATGATAGTAGTACCTAATGATTGAAAATCGAAAATATCAGCTTCTAGAATTTCAAATAAATTGCAGTTAATGGTATTGTAAGCTGGTGACTTATCTCCCCATATATACACGCCACATAAATAAACATCACTTTGTAATGAGAAGAATGTTTTGTCTAACTTGATCCAAATAATTGTATCGTAATGATTTCTGATTATTGTGATACCGTCTTTGATACATTCTTTGTAGTATAAAGCAATACCTCCAGAACTTCGTTTAGCTTTCTTACTTTGAAACTTTCTATAAAAGTTGTGGCAAATGTAATCATGAAAATCAATCTTACTGTTTCGGTTATTCCATGTTTCTAACAAAAATACGATATCATACTGTAACAACAATGATTCAAACTCTTTACATTGCATCTTAGAGTTGGTTAATCCATGACAATTCCAGACACACACTTTCAGATCATCCTCTTGTAGCCGCTATTCTACTTTTCCATATTTTCCATCTGTATATATTTTTCCATTGACTATTAGTTTGTTGTACTTGATATAAGCGTCCTGTCGGTCTTTCCTTGCCTTTAACATAATTGGAATAAGTTTACGTCGTTGTGCTCCTACCTCTGCCGGATATTGGTCGTGCATATAATAACCGGATTTGGCTTCTATATTACCTCTGAATGACTTCACTTTAACTTTACTTTCATAATTATCAAAAACTGTCAAAACATTCCTATTTTTTCCTGTGATTTTATTGCCTATTCTCTGCACACGTTTAATGCACAATCTTTCCCTATCTTCAACATCCATCTTCAGGGTTTCCTCTAAGAACTTGCGAACTTGAATCAATGTTATTTCTTGCGTTTCGTCTTTATCTTCCGGTAATCCGCCAATGATCAAGTTATTCATCATGGATTTAGCTTCCATACTACAGACTGTATCTCGTAATTTGTCATTTTGATGCTTGATATTCTGCAATTCCTCTTTTGTTTTGTCCATTTCAAATTCGTTTGATTGCATTCTGTCATGTAATATATCCAGCCTGTCCACATTTCTACTCACTCTTGAGTCAATATCTTTCCATAATTTATTTAATTTTTCATCAACATTATTGACTTTTTCTTCCAGACGTTCCAATTTATCCAATCTCTTGGACATCTCGTTAAATTTCGAAGTCAAAAAGTTCATGATATCATCATTAGTAACACATTTAAGATTCCCTTGGCTGGAGCTCGGACAATCTTGGCCAGACATTGTATTACAGCTATTCACTGTCGATACCGACGAACCGTTATTTAACATGTTTTGCACGAATCCTTGCGTTTGACCTAGTGACGTTGTCAAACCATCCGTTAATCCTTCATGCTGACCGTTACTGGTCAAATTTGTCATCTGCTGTTGTGAATTCACTCTTGCGTCACAATAACTACCTGTATACTGCGATGTATTCACACTATCATCATAACAGTCCGAGTTCAAAAATTGAACAAAAGATCCGCTAGTACTTGAACTATCCCATGTAGGACTTCCCGCGATTTTAGGGTCTTTGTTACCTTTATCAGATTTTGATTCACTACTTGTACTACTGTTTTTTCTTTTATTCCGACCTTTTTGTGGCATAATAGTATAACTATAATATTCCTCATCAAATATCCAACAAACTCATATAATTTTCTTGAGAATATACCTGGAAGTTACTTTTACTGTTTTCATGAAGTTTAAACCATTTAAATACAAGTTGAATCAGTACTTTGAAATTCAAAAAAAATCATAGATTAATGGATTATTGTAAATTTGTTGGATATAAATACTTTTTGATAAAGTAAGATCAGTAAAAGTTATTGTTTTTTCTTATCATGTATTCAGCATTAGAATGTGTCGTCTGCTGAAAATCTCCCTCCCTAAAATATATATCGTCTGCTACAAATCTCTCTCACTGAAATAAACACTGCCACGTGCATCTGTTTACTACTGAAGGTTCATGACCTGTAATGATCAGTTGGCTCCTCCCATGGAAATTCAAATTTCAAATTTGACAGCCAGTATTTTTTTCCAGAAACACACTTAACAAAGTTTTATTTTGAATAATTTTGGTCAATCTATATCAAGAATATCTATGCCTACATACATGCCAAGTGTTGTTTAAATGCATTTGGTAATTAATCTTAAATCTTTGAAAAAGGGTCCCTGAAGTGAAGCATGCATAAAATTAATAAGAAACCTGCCCTAGCGCCATCTGCTGGCTTTTATAGTCCAGTTGGGCCTTTAAGATAATAGTGTAGTGGATCCTTCCACTATATGTATTATGAAACCACTTGCTTACTTATAGGATAACTATAAAATGTAAGCTGAAAAATTAGATGTTAAAAGTTAGAAGTATTAAAACTCATGCAGGCTGACTTTGCATGTTACTAATTTAAACGCGTCTTATATTTAAGCTTGATTATGACCATATTTTGACCCATCATCCGAACCAACTGTACACATAATTATGGTATATACTACATTTAATATTTATAATACTGGTATATGATAAATAGCCTGTGTTACCGGGGATGATTTTAACCACTTTAAGTCTGCTTAAAAACTAGGACTATGACTTAAAAAGTAGCAAATGCATTATCTATGGTACCTAGTCACAAAATAATTAAATTCTATTTCTTACTTCATCTCTGTGCCAATTGTTTCAATCTCGAGCACTTCCCATAATAAAATTATAAAGGATAACAGAACTTGGCAAAGAAACTTTATTTCAAGTAAAATACTTATATTATTTACAGAATGCAAATTTGCATGTTCAATTTAACTATACTGATACACACTTATAAAGAGTCATTGATTTTTTTTTTCTAATAGAATTTTTGCACACTTTTTTTTTGATATTTAATGGTTGTTTTTTTTTACTTGCTGATCATTGGCCTAATTAGAATTAAAAGCTTAGCATCACTTTACCATGATATTTTCCAATAAATCCATTTATTTATTTATTCATTTAATACAAGATCAAAAAGCATTTGCAAAAATGAACAAGATTTTCATATGCTTATTTCCATACAATCATGATATTAATCAATGTCTATTCTGGTATAAGCTAAAGACTTGAATAACATTGGAGTTGAATGTCCCTATATATAGTCTATCAACATTCTCACATAGGGCAATACTGACTGGCTTCACTAGATTGTGTTTATCATCCACAAAAAGTTTCATTTTCTTTAGATCTGCTGATAATTGATGAACATTGTTAGAACCCCGCCCACAAACATAGACAAGCCCCTCCCCGTCTACTGCAAGTTGAATTGGTGCAGCCAGCTGATCATCTTTGTAGATTGCTTTGACTTTTCCATCGAAAGTCATACTAATTATAATATTCTTGTTGCTGTCGGAAATATAAATGTAACGTTTGTTTGGGCTTAAGGCAAGGTGCTTTGGAGAGCTGATTGTTATAGCAGACTCATCAAAGCATTTTAAGACATTTCCTGACATATCAAGAATCTTAACTCTCGCTGGGTCTAGATATGTTACGACTAAACGCTTCCTTCCACATGTTATACCGTAACACTCGTATCCAACTTTCACATCTTCCGTCTTCACCACTGTCATTGTATCTGAAAGTGTTAGAAATCTGGCGACTCCAAGCTCGGGGAAAGTGATAACAACTTGATTATCATTAACTTTAGCTACACCCCAAGGTGCTGACGGCATGGGAAGAGCTGACAAAATTTTGTTTTCAAGTAAATCCTCTATTATATATATTGAACAGTTTTTATTATCTATGATTACAAGTTGGTTTTCATTCAGTAGACACAAACTTGTGTACATCACTGACTTGATTGGTAGTTCTGACAGATGAATAGCACTCTTCTCCTTATCCGTTGGTTTCACTTTTTCATTGATTGAGAAGAAGTTGCTTGTTGTCTCGATTGTGTCCAATGTAAGACTATTTGACTCGGGTTTTATCTTGAACTCACACGTGTGACAGCTCTTCTTTATCTCTTGTAAATCTTGTTCATAATTTTCAAGATCCTTTTGACTTGTTTTAACAGCTATGTAAGTACTGCATCTTTCCCCTGATTTTTGTTTGCTATCAATGTTTAAAGACAGTTTTTCAAGACCATTTGCTATATCTCTATGTTTTTGTTCGATGCAACTTAATTTTGTCAAGTCTGTGTCTTTGATATGCTCAATTTTCTCTTCCATTTTAGTTTCCGACACTTTTAAATTCTTTTCTAATATTTTCTCCTTTTCATTAAAGATTGCTTTAGTTTCCTCCCTTTTCTGCTTTAATTCTCTAAGAATTTCCTCAGCATCATGTATCTCTTGGTCGTAAACTTCAATTATTTCCTGTTTCATCTCTTGAAGGGTTTTCTTCATTTTCTCTGTGTGTGTGTAAATGGTCTTTTTGGCTTCGATTTCTTGAAGACTGATACTTTCTGTATTGAAATTCACCTTTTTCTGCGATTCTTCTAGCTTTGTGTGTAAATATTTTATGTAATCTTTTATATCTTCAATACCTTCTGTATTTGAATCATGGCTGACAAAAGAGGAAATATGTCCGACATCTTCACAGTTTTTATGAGTTTCAGTTTTACATTCACTGCAAGCAAAGTTCTCACAAGTAGGACAGTAGAATTTAATCAAGTGCTTTGAATGAACGGAGCATTTTTCTACACAGTAATCAGTCGGCATATTGCTGGTATCCTGTTGTGTATGTTCAGGCATATATCTCCCATGGTACACAAGGCAGGTTTTACACATGTAGTCACAGCAGTCAGTACATAGTCCTTCTGCTCTCGCATATATGCCATGAAGATTGCATGGTTCACAAAACATGTCACCAACTTCATCTGATGCGTATGCAAAATCACTCATATTGAAACACAAATATTTACAGTTATTTTGATTAAAATTTCTGTGATTTATACCAGGAAGTTATGTTGTGCATTTCCTGTATATGTAATTGTCAATATCTGTTTCAATTTCATACATCAATTTACCATGCTAAGGTTTTGTAACAACCCATCCATTTATTCCAAACTAACACATTTTCAAGGTAACACTAGTTTATTAAAAGTATTCTCTCTAACTACACATGTTACATATGTTACAATCAGATTAGATCTATGTTTATGCTATTTTTAGAACAAATAGCAGTAACAGATAACTCTAAATTACTTTTTAGATAAGCTATAATGAGTTTTCTCCCTTTGTATTTGATTAAAATGGCTTATAAATTGCATCATTGAAAATTTAATAAATATCTGAATGGGTTATTTTAGAGGTAAGCTTTTGTTGTAAGGGGAAGGTTTTTGTGAACTGTTTTGATTTTGTATTGAATGGTGAAGATTAATATTCATATAGATTTGCAGTTTCAAGTTAATGTTACCATAACAGAAACACATGCAAACTTGATTATTTTTCATGGGTTTGGCAATCTTGATTCTATCCAGTCACCAAAAGTTAATTCTAATTAATAATGGTTAGTGCTCATTTAGATCAATTTAAATGACTGTTTCTTATTCTCAAACTATGCCTTCTGGGGAAATATATTCATGACCTTTAAATAGGGCTTGAACAAACAATTCCTTGGACGGGAGGGCAGCTTAGCGATACACAAACTGCTAAGCCTCTAAAGTCTCCTCCTAGACAAAGTACAGCGTAGAATAATGTAATATAAATTTTAATTTAATATTTCAGGCAGCCCAGAAAACGGATGATGATTTTCAAGTTGATGATGTCTTCCTCAGTAAGGCTAATAGAAAACAGTCCGAGTCTATCCTGGAGCAAAAAGACAAAGCTGCAGCTATATACGGTTGGTGCTTAAAAATAATTTACTAAAGTTATGTCTATGTTTATGATGTGTTTCTAATAAAAAAATACGGACTCATGTAGAATAACTCTAGTTAGCTGTTATATTTTATACAAGACAGAATTACTGCAAAGTCTGTTACAGAAAATTAACAGTGTTTGACATGTTCTAGTTAAATGAATAAAGGAATATAGAAATCAAGTCTGGTTAAAACATGAAACTGTATTATTTTATTCAGAAATACAAAGTTTTGACTCAAAGGTCTTCATTAGGTATAGTTAAGTATAGTTATTTACAAGAAATGACATCGACGTCATACGTTGTCAGTGAGGTCATAACGTCGTTAGTGACAACAATGTCAGACATTGTTAGTGACAGCAAGGTTATACATCATCAGTGACAACAACGTTATACGTGGTCAGTGACAACAACGTCATACGTTGTCAGTGACAACAATGTCATGTCGTCGGTGACAACAACGTCATACATCATCAGTGACAACGTCATAATATGTAGTCAGTGACAACAACGTCAAAATGTGATGAATAATTTGTCATATTTAATCAATATGCAGGATCACAATTGATACAAAAACACTGTTAAAGATATACTTTGGTTGGAGAAAAATTCCATTTAGAGTTATGCCCCATTTCTTACTGTCGAGCACTGAGAATAGTCAAGTGTGCTGTCTTAGGGACATTCAATGTTGAAAATAATAAAATTTTTATAACATTTTAAATAATTTTTGTTTCAGAACATAAGAAAATGGCAGCATCACTGGAGAAGTGTAGGTTTTGTTTTGGCAATGTGCCAAAACATCTTATCATTGCCATTGGCACAAAGGTAAACATTTTTGTTTCAGCCCATATCTGCTATTGGTTATAACCTCACAAGGGATTGACTTTTTTAGTAAGGAAGTTAAAACATAAATAAGGTCTAGGCTTACTGAAAGTTAAGGATTATATATGCCTAAAATGTGCATGGCATAGTTTTCTTTTTAGGAAACAATTTGAAATCATACTGTTTGGATGTAAAATATTACAATTGAATAAATTTGAGCCAGTTTGTCCACAAAAAATTACATATGATATGAGAAAAATATATAAAAAATGCTCATACTCCTTTAATTACTGGGGAAACATAGTTATAAAACTAGTAACTTCAAATCCTTTCATGAGAAACATCACATAGATTGTTATAATTTATATGTTTTTTCCAAACCTCTTCACAGGTCTTTCTCTGGATATTTATTCTTAAAATCTTAGACTCTGATGCTTAAATGATGAAAAGCAGAACGTCATTACAATGTAGATTTAGTTTTATTTCCAGTCTCTCATTCAGGAAAGATGTAAAGTTATTTAAAGTGTAAGAAAGGTGGTCACTAATCTTACTCCATTGTGCAACATGTATAATTTTAGAATTTAAATATTTACTTTATAGAAATGTGTTTAAAGATTGATTAATTGTTTAGTTTAATCATATTTTATTGCTTTTTTTCCCTTTTCTGTACAAAACAGATACAATGTCATATGCAAACATAAAACCAAACATTTACGAATGAATTAAAATATTTACATGTATGCTGTAGTTGTTCATAAAAAGCAAAAAGGGTCTGACCACAAGTTTTAACAACATAAGAGATTTGGCCCTACTCACATGAATTGTCTATATAGCTATGTGTTTTTATATAGAGATTTATTTCAGGTGTACCTGTGTTTACCAAACAACAAATCTTTGTCTGAAGGTCACTGTTTAATTGTACCAATGCAGCATGTAGCCTCAGGAACAACGGTTGATGAAGATGTATGGAGTGAAATACAGGTGACAAGAAATTTTACTAAAATCACAAAACAACAGACCACATTTTATTACATAAACACTGTGCACACTTAAAGGAACTGCACTGAGGTCCAAAAGCCTAAGAACAAAATCTGGCAAAATCTGAATTATCTGAATGACCTTACCCAAAAGGTCGAGCTGTATGTATAAAATTGTAATTTTCAGAGAAACTTCTATCATACTGTTTCATACTTTATTTTTCTTATTATAATGTATGAAGTTTAAAAACTTGTTAATTACGGAATGGTGATTTACACTTTGTATATTTGAAGGTATTTAGAAGAACAATTACGGAATGGTGATTTACACTTTGTATATTTGAAGGTATTTAGAAGAACACTTACAAAGATGTTTGCAGATCGAGACGAAGATGTGGTGTTTATGGAAACTAGTATGAAGCTTAAACAGTTCCCGCATATGTGTATAGAATGTGTTCCCATGGACAAAGAAGTTGGCGATCTTGCACCTATATATTTCAAGGTGGGACAAATTCCATTTCTATGTTTCTAGAATTGTTGTTATCTGATGTTTATAAATTCAGTAAAATTTTATATGTGGGCATTTCAAAAGTGAATTATATTTACCTAAAGGCCTTTATATCCACATAAAGTTACTACCATAATGTATGTAAATGCACATTTTAGCTCAATTGGGAGGTGAAAAAAGAATTAATAAGTGTTTATTTATGCATAAAGATAATCCAAATAGGTACAAAAAAGTGTGTATTTATATGTTTATTTATTGGAGATGCATTTTTAAACAAAATTGAAAAAACGACAAACATTATTGTGATTCGTAAAAGGTGTAAACATGCAATATCTATTGATGTACTTTGTTATATTGAATTATTACTACAGCATTCTAAAATTCCCGAATCTGGATAAATTGAAGAACTTAATTGAAATATTGATTTCACCCTTAACCTGCTGAATTTATATAATGGTCTTGATCTGCTTTTAACTTGGAACAGTTCATTCAAAGTTTTAAGGAATTTCAATTTCAATATCAAAACCAAAAAAATGAGCATATGTTTAGGCTTGCCTGGCTCTACACTGTTGCTAACACTTTTAAAATGAAAGACTGACTTATTTGAGAAGAAATAATTATTTGAGAATAAGTTTTGTCCTGTTTTTCAGAAAGCCATACAAGAGAGTGAGAGCGAATGGTCACAGAATAAGAAAGTTGTGGATCTCAGTCAAAAAGATATCCGACACTCTGTATGTATTTTATACATTTTAAGCACTCTACTTTTTTTCTTTTTTTCTTTTGGGGGGGGGGGGGGGGTGGAGGGGGATATAGTCTGTGTGTCTGTCAGCACCTCTGAAAATAAAAATGAGGCTATCTTACTGTAAACAGAGCTCATTCAGTAACAACAAAAATAAGGGGCCAATGGCTCCTTAATACATTTCAGTTGCACATCAGTCCATAGTAAGGCTCAACAGTGGAACCTTGTGGCATTTGTGTCAAATGGGGACATTTCTTTGTTAGTTTATGATATTGTAATGTCTTATTGTTACTTTAAGCAGGTAAAGAATTAAAACAAATTTCTGAGTGGAGCTACCTGTAAAGAGTTAATGTTTTAAAACATACATGATGTTTTGAAGTGTATAAAAAAAATACGGTATGCATTATTAGAAAAAGATAATAATTATATTATACATTTAATCTGAGATACCTACATTATACTAGTTATTTTTCAATAAATATATTTTTATTTAATATTATGTGAAATTTATTTATTATGCCCCCATTTCAAAGAAAAGGGGGTATATTGCTTTGCACTTGTCGGTCCGTCGGTCTGTCGGTCCGTCAGTCCGTAGACCAAATGGTTTCCGAGTGATAACTAAAGAACCCTTAGGCCTAGGAACTTCAAACTTGGTATGGTGATTGGTCATGACCAGTAGATGACCCCTATTGATTTTGGGGTCAAGGGGTCAAAGGTCAAGGTCACATTGACCTTGTAAGCAAAAACGGTTTCCGATCAATAACTAAACAACCTTAAGGACTAGGAACTTCAAACTTGGTATGGTGATTGGTCATGATCAGTAGATGACCCCTATTGATTTTGGGGTCAAGGGGTCAAAGGTCAAGGTCACATTGACCTTGTAAGCAAAAACGGTTTCCGATCAATAACTAAACAACCTTAAGGACTAGGAACTTCAAACTTGGTATGGTGATTGGTCATGATCAGTAGATGACCCCTATTGATTTTGGGATCAAGGGGTCAAAGGTCAAGGTCACATTGACCTCTTGGGTAAAAACGGTTTCCGATCAATAACTAAAGAACCCTTAGGCCTAGGAACTTTAAACTTTGGTATGCGTGATTGGTTATGACAGCAGATGACCCCTATTGATTTTGGGTTTAAGGGGTCAAAGGTCAAGGTCACATTGACCTTGTAGGTAAAAACGGTTTCCGATCAATAACGAAAGAACCCTTAGGCCTAGGGACTTTAAACTTGATATGGTGATTGGTCATGATCAGTAGATGACCCCTATTGATTTTGGGGTCAAGGGGTCAAAGGTCACATTGACCTCTTGGGTAAAAACGGTTTCCGATCAATAGCTAAAGAACCCTTAGGCCTAGGAACTTCAAACTTGGTATGGTGATTGGTCATGACCAGCAGATGACCCCTATTGATTTTGGGGTTAAGGGGTCAAAGGGCAAGGTCACATTGACCATGTAGGTAAAAATGCTTTCCGATCAATAACTTAAGAACCCTCAGGCCTAGGAACTTCAAACTTGGTATGGTGATTGGTCATGACCAGCAGATGACCTATTGATTTTGGGGTCAAAGGTCAAGGTCACATTGACCTTGTATGTTAAAGCGGTTTCCGATCAATAATTAAAGAACCCTTAGGCCTAGGAACTTCAAACTTGGCATGGTGATTGGTCATGACCAGCAGATGACCCCTATTGATTTTTGGGTGAAGGGCCAAAGGTCAAGGTCACATTGACCTTGTAGGTAAAAATGGTTTCTGATCAATTAACTAAAAACGCTTAGGCCTAGGAACTTCAAACTTTGTATGATGATTGGTTGTGACCAGCAGATGACCCCTATTGAGTTTTGGGTCAAGGGGTCAAAGGTCAAGGTCATGACCAGTAGATACTTGATAACCCTTATTAATTGTTTGATCACTGGGTCAGAAGTCATGCATAATAACCTTATCACATGACTAATTGGCTGCTGATAGGGGGCATACATGTTTTACAAACATATCTTGTTAAATTTAAAACATCGATTTCATTGTTATTTAAATGTTATTAAGTGGAAGTTTTGTCTACTTTTTAGGTTCCAAAAGGCTTTCCATATTTTGCGGTAGATTTTGGTAACCAGGGTGGATTTGCCCATGTGATAGAAGATGAAATCAAGTTTCCATATTATTTTGGAAAGGTACTTTATTTGTCAGATCCACGTATAAATGAAATTTAAATCACAAATATATGACCCTAAGGAACAGTATTAAACAAAATACTGACATAACTTTGCATGGCTGTTATATTCCTAGTTTTTGTATCATTCTTCCATGAGGAAAATTAATTCGTTAATTTTCTTAGATGTCTTTCAAGATGGTGAAATCTTTAAGGAAGAAATTGCAAACCTTGTTTGAGACCAGTTTCATTCCCTTGTGATTTAAGCTATTCATATGGAATAGATTCTTGTGTACAACATATTTTTAATTATACAGACGTTTGAATCAAAAGGTTATTTGTGCTGTAAAATATGGTCTTGTAATCTACTATCTTTCAAAATGAAAGCCATTAGAGCTTAAGACAATGATAAAAGTGTTCTTAAAATAAAAGAACCTTAGCAATAACCCCATGCATGCAAGTGGCCATAATGATATAATCAAGCCACCAGTGTAGATTCAAACACGATGTCTGACCATTGACTACTAAATTTTATTAGTTTCAATATTTTGATGTTAAAATCCAATTATGCATCAGAAACGCATGTCCATTGCACAGATATAGCTTGGAGTATATCGTAAATGTTGTTGTATATAGATTCAGTCTTTCATTCTAATTCACATTATTGTTGTTGTCTTTCAGGAAATCATTGGTGGAATGATTGACGCTGATCATAGATTATGGAAGAAACCTCCAAAAGAGAATTTTGATGAGCAAAAGAAAAGTACTTTAGTTTTCTACCCTGTTTAAAAACCCTTATTTAAATTTGGGTCAAAATATTTTCCAAGAAAAATTTAATCAAAATAGAGTATAGTGAAATCGGATTGAAAGGTTTTAAAAAAAAGCTTCTTTTTGACAAAAGATTTAAAAAATGAGGTTTAAAAAAAGCTTCTAGGTGATTTTAGATTTAAACCCGCCAAATTTTCAACTCCCGGAGGGAGATTTTTTGTGGTTTTTAACTTTCCAAAAACTTCCCGTGGAAATGTGATAAATGAATTTCAGTGGGAAAAACATTGAAATGTTTTTTAAAAGAAAACCCGTGGGCCCCCCCATTCCCTTTATGGCTTTCTAGGAAAAGATCCCAAATTTAAAATTTTTTGAAGGGTTTTTACCCCAATTAAATATGAACAAGGCATCTTTGATAAGTTAAACAATGGCATCATCGGCAACATAATTTAGCACAAGATGCCCAGTGACTCTGAATGATTTTGTCGAAGCTAAAGGCAAACTTGAAACAGACAAAAAAATATCCCCCCCAGAAAAAAAACGAAATAGCGAAATTGAATTAAAATCCTCTAAAGACAAGTGACTTTTATGAAGATTATTATCTATTTATTAAAAAGTGTATTTGTTTTCTAAATATGTGAAATTAATTATATATATATGAAAAATTGATTTCTGAAGAAAACACATTGTCATCACTTGCAAATAAAATCTTTTGCATAATGTTTTATAACATTTGAAATAAAGATATAAATAACATTTTGTTATTTCATATTTTTAATAAATAGTAAACAGAATGAGGTCAACATATTTACAGGATACAATCTTAAATTATTTGCTTTGAATCCCAGTTCAGCAAATAAAGATATCAAAATTTGGTTTATAATGCAACATAATGTAAATACAACATTCTTAATCAGTCACAAATTAATTTATATCTCAGATGAATTTGAACATATTATTAGTAATCTTATTTAAACGTTTTCACAGCTTTTGTGGGCATTTACAGCATTTCCATATGACACTTCCAGTTATATTAAACATATCAACATGTTGTCATGACGATTTTCTTCCAAACTGAATTATAACAGGTTTCCCTTTAAAATCATATCCATGAACAAGTTCCAGGGCCTGACTTGCTTTATCTGTGCCTGAAATATAAAAAATCATTGTTTTAAATCGGAAAAATGGTAACACGTAGATTACTTAAAAATAGAATTGTCGATTGAGGAAAGCAAGAAACAATATTAAGAAAGAGGCTCCCTAATGTTAATCTTGCTGAATTTCTTAAATTGACCCTTAATCTTCCATTTTGTGTCGACTCTACGGAGTAGTGGCGACATATAGGGATCACTTCTCCGTCGTCTGTCTGTCCGTCCGTCCGTCACAAAACTTGTCCGGACTACTCCTCATAAACTACTGGTGCAATTTCATCCAAACTTTACAGGAATGATCAGTACCAAGTCCAGTTGTGCATATTGTCAGCATTTTCCGGTTCAATGATTTTTGTCAGAGTTATGGCCCTTTAATAATTTTTAATTTTAAAGTTTGTCCGGACTACTTCTCTTATACCACTAATGCAATTTCAATGAAACTTTACAGGATTGATCTGTAGCTCAAGTCCTTGCGCATATTGCACGGGTTTTCCGGTTGAATGATTTTTGGCTGAGTTATGGCCCTTTGATAAAAAGGTTTCTTTTTCTGTGTGTTGCCAGATACACAAAAGCTTTGTCCGGACTACTCCTCATAAACTACAAGTGCAATTTCATCCAAACTTTACAGGAATGATCAGTAAACCAAGTCTAGTTGTGCTATTGTCAGCATTTTCCGGTTCATGATTTTTTGTTTGAGTTATGGCCCTTTAATAATTTTTAGTTTTTTAAAGTTTTGCCAGACTACTTCTCTTATACCACTAATGGCAATTTCAATGAAACTTTACAAGGATTGATTCTGTAAGCTCAAGTCCATTGCGCATATTGCAACGGGTTTCGGTTTGAATGACTTTTGGTGAGTTATGGCCCTTTGAATAAAAAGGTGTTTTTTTTCTGTGGTGTTGCCAGAATTACGCAAAAGCTTGTCCGGACTACTCCTCATAAACTACTGGTGCAATTTTTATCCAACTTTTACAGGAATGAATCAGTACAAGGGTTAGTTTGTGCACTGTCCGTCTGTCTGTCTGTCTGTCACAAAATTTGTTCCCAACATGAAAATTGGCCCATCATAGGCGACACATGTGATTACTGATCGTCTAGTGTTGGTATTTTTTATAACTGGTTTTTTTTGGGATATCGAGCTGAAAGTATTCAAATTATTTTCTGCCAATATTGTCGTAAACACAATAGAAAGTGAGAGAAACACTTTTTTCGTTTCTTACTTTTAATATCTAATTTTAAACATTTTTTTTTTCTACTTTTTACAATCAACAAAGTTTTATCTCTCTAACAACTTTTTAACAACTAAATGTATTTTTACATCAAAATCCTTTTATATCTCAATCACTTTTCCTTTCTTTTAACAATACTTTTTAACAACCACACCTTAAACTTTCTGTGACCGTGCGGTTCTCTATTTGCTTCAATGCATCATGAAAAGATGAAAAGCGTGAAATTTGTGGCCGGGAATTGCATGGGGTAAGTTATAAGGAATGTAATAAATAAGACTTTTTGGCGGCGAAAAAACCAAAAAGGACAATAAACGGGAGTTATCAACATACAATAAAGTTAAAAGGAGCATATTCAAAGAACAGCATTGAAATACAAAGTATTCATTACATAATCGCTATGTTAGCGACACTCCCGCCATAGAAAGTGAGCTTACAATATTATTTTATAGTAGAAAATACAATATGTAAAGTAGCAAATACTTCACAATTTGCATGAACTATGCATATCTTTTACCTGATTGAAGTTTATCTCTTTTATCAGTGCCTAGCATATTGTGGAAAGACACATGACAGAATATGACCATTATTAACAGTCAAATGGGACATTTAAAGAAAAGACAATGGATAGAAATGAATTTCTGTCAAGTTTTGTAGAATACTTTCAACCAATGATAAAAAATTCAGTCAATTGAAGGTTGATACTGTACACTATTGGAATGTGTCATACTAACTGTTAGGATTTTGGATTCTTTCATGTGAGAAAGATATCCGGCTAGCTTACGAAATGTCGTGGTTGTACTCAGCTGCCCGTTTGGCCTGAAATAATGCACAGAGGGGCACCTGAGGTCTTCCTCCACCAGTAAAGCTGGAACATCGCCATATGACCTATACAGTGTTGGTGCAACTTAAATCCCAAATAAACAAACAAACAAACTTACTGCTAAAAGTAACAAAGGCCTGTCCTTTCATCCGTCCGTTAAGAAGTTTAAACACAATTCTATCATTATCATCATCTTGAAACTGTATAAAAAGTGACGCCAGATCTTGTTCTCTGACTTTTGGGGATAGATTCTTAACAAATAGCACCTGTATAAATTAAAGCAATCATCAGATCTTGTATAATTGTATGTAATTAATGAATTGATAAAAAAGCAATTAATAATACACATGTTTATTTTCATTTTTATGAGGACTTTCATCATTTTATAGTCATTTTAGTTCATACATGTAGTTTATGATGAAGGCTTAATCTAAATCACTCTCAAGTCCCCTTCTTGGACCAACAGCTGTTTTTTTCATCTTTTCTTTTAAAGCATGCCGTTTCCCAAAAAATCTGTACCTACACCAGCTTTTTAACTTTCTGAATTAGCAATTTTAGTGATAATTCTTCCCAAAAGCAAAGGACTAAGGCCTCTTACCAATTAAGTGAAAAAACCACTGAACCAGTATTAGTAACATGGATGTGATCCCATTAGGGCTCTTATTTATGAGCCCTAGGTAACGAGGTAGGCACTCTAAACACAAGGCTGACCTTTAATTTATAAGTGGCTGTTAAAACATATTACCGCTTGTGACTACTAGAAAGCAAAAAATATTCCAGAAACCTTATATTTTCACCAAACATTCAATAACAACCAAAAATTACATTATTTTTGTAAAAGACCTTTAAAAACAACTTACATGACTAGGTTCTCCTGGGGAGTACATTTCAAATCTTGGTAACTTTTTCACTTCCTCAGCAGTCAGTTTATATTGTCTGATTGCACTCTCAGGAATGGCTTCAACATTTTCTATTTCTCTTATTTTTTCTGCATCTTGATTATCTAGTACACTGAAATTGTCTGGCATATTTGGCTTAGAAATTCCTGTATTTTTCATAGATTTTACTGTAAAAGAAGTTGACTTTTGATGAATTTTCTTCTCTAGTTTCGGTCTATTTTCAGTACTTTTTTCTTCAATTTTTGATACATAGTCTGCTGGTTTTTCTTCACAAGTTTGAATTTTTATTTCATGGTCACATGTCATCTGACATTGATCACATGATGTGTCACATGATGAGCAAGCCTCGCTTTCAGTTTGTGAATTATCAAGTTTGCGTCTGCTACATTCTGGACATTCTGAAATAAATGTTGGATTGCAGCACTCTAGCGTACACTCTTTTTTATAACTTTTCTTGTCCATCTTTCTGTGTTTTTTGGTATCAAGACGTGCATCACTGGAAAACTTTTCAAGAATTTCTGGTATACAATTCAAGGGATCATTTGGACTAGTTTCTTTTTCCTTTATAAGAGTTTTGTGGAGGAATTTATTTTGAGAACTCGCTGTAGCTATTGCATTTTCAAGGTCCATTTCATGTCTGTAAATAAGAAATTAAAAATGTATTTGTAGGCACAATAAAGCTGACATTTAGGTAATTGTTAATCACATATCTATTATGAAGACAATCAACACTTCGCTTAATCTTGAAATTTCAAAAAGTGACATAAATAACATAAATATCAATCTTGAATGTTAACAATTTTTACAAGGAAAGAATCATCCATTTAAAGAATTTATTGATCAACTTTCTCTTTAAAAATGTTGCTAAGAAAATTCAAAGAAATGAAACACTGAACAATAGGATTCTGAAAGTCAATCTGCAAACCATGGTTGTCCAAGAAAAAATCAAGCCATGATCGTCTAAGATAAAATCAAGTTAAACAATTCTTGGTGTACTGGCATAAGGACGTTAATTTATGCTATTTTTAATTTTCTTTTCATGAGTTTTAAGCAGACTGACACTATTAAATTCATATGGCATTAGCTTTACAGGTGGAGGGAAAGCTGAGGCGCAATTCCAATTTCAGTAAACCCACCTACCTCATTTCAATTTATAAATTATAAAATGCATACAACAGTGTCATCATGAGCTCTTGATATGAAACTTAATTCAAACATTACAATAACAGTTTACCTGGATAATGGCTTCACATTTGAAAAGCTGTCAGGTTTTGAGAGATTTTGTTTTTTCTGAGCTATCTTGTCATTAATCTCTGCCAACTTTGATGCAGTAAAGTCAGGGTTACTCAATCTACCTTTCTTTAGCTAAAACAAAAGAGAAAACAAATAAAGATAATTCATACTAATTTTCATAAGAATAAATTTCTAAAGCAAGTCTATATAATAAACAACTTTAATCTTTTTTTTTTCATTTGCTATTTAGTATGCATTTAAAATAACCATAAAACATTCTATATTTTTTAAATAACACAATAGCTGAAAATATTGAAATTTATATCAAACAGTTTAGAAATGAAATCATTATATGAATATACTGAAAAAGTTTAATATTTCTACACTGAAGAGAAACCAAGACTTGCAGCTTCACTTTTAATTATTACTTTCTTTTTATTTTAAATATGTTATATAAATTCTTGTACAAAATGAACTGGAAAAAGGTGTAGTGCCCATTTACTTAACAAAAGCTTTAATTGTACTTAAGGCTGTGATGTAATGCTCAACTTAGGAACATTGTCAAAATTAAAGGAAGATTGGAAATGAAAAATCTCCAACCTTTGGTTAATATTTTTACAAAAGCATACTTCATACTACGAGACTGCATAAAATACATGCAAATACGTCCAGATAAAGAGTTTTAACTAGCATAAGAAATAAATAGCTTATTACCAAACTTCCATCATTCTCCATTTGTAACTTGTACAAAATTTCTTCGTGGGTCAGTCCAAGATTTTTCATTTCTTCAATATATTTATCCACTTCTCCAACTGCAATGAAGTCACTTAGGTTTCTTGTCCCTGACAATTCTTCTGGAGACGCTAAATAATCTGCTCCTTTTGAAAACTCTCGCTTTTGTCCCAATTGTCTGTAATGATGACAAAGTTTGTTAATAATATTGTTAATAATATTAATTTTATCTACTTACTTCTTTGTCAGAGTAAACTTAATTCTTTGTTCCAGTAAACTAACTTCTTTGTTTCGAGACTGGGGGCACAAAAAACTTAAATTTGCTGTAAAACTTGATGATTCAACAGGTATACTGTACGGGCATTTTGATACATATATTGGGACAAGTATTCTGTTTAAGTATTGCAATGGATTCTTAGACCAGGATCACACAAAACATTAAAAACTGTGTTTTTGTTTAAAAAAATCACAAGAATCAAATAAAAGTGTCAGATTGAGGTTACTGTATTTTTATGCTTCCTTGTTAATATTCCATCACACTAAATTTGTTCAACTGTCAAGCTTAAATAAATACTTGTATATATTACTTTTACTTTCATTGAACATAAAATTTGTTTTTAAAAAGTAAAATAAAATGTACACCAATAAATACATGTATGTATTACTTTTACTTTCATTGAACATAAAATTTGTTTTTAAAAAGTAAAATAAAATGTACACCAATAACCAAAATTATTCCCATGAATATTGTAATAATTAAAAATTTTATACTAGCTGGAAGCTGGAAAAGTAGAATTTTGTATCACTTACTGTTGTAAAGTCACTTTTGTGTCCAATTGTTTCTGGAGCATAGATTTGAGTTGTCTTTGGCCTTCAGTTTCAATGGACTCCAGCGGACCATCAATGACCTTCGACCTTGACCGCACTCCAGCCTCCATTCGCACCACATCATGACTCTGATAACGTCTTGGGTTACCACTGAAATAGGAACATAAAGTCTTTATCAAAAAAATATTTATATTCATTATTCAAAATACTCTGACTGAAAACAAGCTACATGACATGCAACATAACTGTAGACTAAGTTAACTTTACCAAAAAAGAGGCGAAATAATCAAATATAGTTTGATATTTTCTTGAAATATTTTCGCTCATTGGTAGGCATGCAGCTTTAAGTATCATGATGACATATCTTTAGATATATGTCTTTTTACAAAAGGTAAACAACCCAGCTTAAAGATCATGTACAAATCTAAAAGCAATGATTTGTAAATGTATGTAAATCTAATTCTTATGAATTAATACATGAAGATAGATAATTAGTTAGGTAAATTGTCCTCATATAGATCTACAACTGTTGTTAGTCTTTCATGGTTTATGTATTAATACATTTGAAAAGCTTTATTTATTTGCATGATACTTTAATATGTTTAAATTCATCACAAGTGTAACAAAATGTAGTAAACAATGTACTGTCAAACTTGTGAACAAAGGCCATCCAAAGGAGAGATCAAACATGACCTTTATATACAAATGCTTTTATTTGGAGGTTAATACGTTCTATTTAATCAGTGAAGGGTTGTTGAAGAGTGGCCTTTGTTTACCGGATGATCTTTATTCGGAGGTGGTCTTTGGCACAGGTTTAACTGCACTGTATAGGAAATAATGAAAACTGGAGCCAGTTCAGTGAACACATAAATATTCCATATGCTTGAAAGACAATGCTTACAAAGCCTTTCATATTTTGTTTGTCTTTTGGGAATTTGAAATATTATCTTTTGAAATATCACGTATGTTAAAAAAAATATGTCAATGGTTTTGTTTGTCTTTTGGGAATTTTGAAATATCACGTATGTTAAAAAAATATGTCATGGATAGGTATTTAGTACTTTGAAACCTATATACACAAAATCACGTTGGTGCGTTCTTACTGTTTCACCGGCTAAGCACGACCTTGTCACCGGTTAGAATTAGAAGATTTATCCGTTTAAAACGAAGAAACATGTCGTCATTTTGGAGACAGGCGGGTTTGAAGTACGTTACTTTAACTTCTTTGGTATGAGGTGCATCAAATGCAAATGTTTTACTGCAGAATGAATGCATGACTGACTAAACTTAAATTTACCTGTTGTAGAATTGTGGGTGGGGTAAGGTTTCGTATTGCAACAGCAACAGGTCTACGTCCCCGCAAAGGGTTTGGTATATATGGAAGATAGATAAATAGAAACTAGTTTCAAACAAATAAGGCAACCATTAATCTTCTTTACATCAGTGCAGGAACTGGTAAAAGCCAAGGGGGAGAATGGTATGACAACTGAGCCTAATTAGGCTCACTAAATAATATGAAATTAGGCAAAGCCTATGAACGGGGAAGTCGGTAAAAAATCCTTTCATTTTTCCGTTTTAAAGGTATCATTCGTTATTATATGTACCCACTTCCGTTTTCACTCGGAACACTCGACGATTATTATTAATCCGAAAAGTTGAGATTTGTTCCGTTATCGGAATACACCGCCTTTTATCATTGAGTTACATTGTAAATGGCGGCGCCTAACTAAAACTGACACTGAAAATTTCATTGATAGGTATAGAATTCTATATATTTTTTAATTATTTTTTATTTGAATTTTCTTTTAAATATACACGTGTAGTCTATAGCCGGGCAAGCCAAAGCCCGGACCCGCTTCGCGGGCCCGGTCTTTGACTTCCCCGTATTATGTTTCAGTTGATTGATAAATCATATAATTGCAGTGTTTCTGCCAGCTCTGATTTTCTGAGGGTCTTTTATGACCCCCTGTATGATATTTTAGGGGTCATTTCAAATTCATAAGGGTCATGCCAATAAATTTAACAAAAATGTAAAAAAAAAAACAGGTAACACTTTATAAGTTTTATTTACAATATTTTGTATATTTTTCGTGAAGAAATTGGTCAATCTCTGCTATTTTGGATTATTTGTCATCCAATAATAACGCTGTATTTCTTAAAAATTATGTGTGTTAATTTTCATAGAAGAAAGAAAGTCGATACTATATTGAAATTCGTTCATAGTCGCCTTCTATTTTTCATAGTGCTTCATAGTACCACCTAGTGACGTAATCAAGGGCCAAATAAAGCTTGACACTAAATATGTTAGTGTTCATCCTTAGCTGTTTTACAGAAATTAGAAACATTCTCCTGTCGCTATCGCTCCCTTCGAAGTTTCTAATTTCTGTAGAACAGCACAGATGAACACTAACATATACGCAGACTGCATTTTCCAGCAGACAGTTATTCGTTCGCAGAATATGACGACAACAAAATAAATAATTTTGTCTGGGCGCTTTCAATATATGCAGTAACGTATAAAGGCAAGCGTTTATTAACTAGTTGAAATTGGCTAAATGCCGGACCACGGACCCGGTAAATTTCATTTCTCATTAAAGTTATAGTGGAGCCCACGGTAAACATTCCGTACATTTTTATACTGAATTGACGGTTTATAGTCTGTATATCTGACTTGTGTTGAAATCAGTGACGGTGAAATTCTTGCGTCACAAAATAAGCACTAACTAAATTTCATTGCGTCATGGCTGAAAATAGTGCGCCAAAAACGCGCTCTGGCAGAAACACTGTAATTGTACTATCTGTAAGCAATTAAGCATAAGCCTTTATCGTACTTTTTAAACAAATAAGAATAAATTCTGTATGTAATTGTTATTCTTCCAGTGAAATGGTATCCTAGGTTACAATCATGATGAGTAATTTAATAAAATTCTTGACAGAAATCTGTTTGTTTTAATTTGTTTTTAAGGAATATTCAAGAGAATGTTTCAGTATAAAAACTAAGTCATCAAAACAATGACTCGTTTTTCTTGTCATAAATTCCACAACATAAATTGCATTAATGCATGCCATCAGTTATAATGGTTAAACATGAATTTCATATTAAATGCTACTGGTGCCTGTGTTTTTATTGCATGCATTTTTGGGACCCATATAAATTTACTACTTTAGAAAATGGTATTTGCAAACCGTGTAAAAGTTGTGGTAACATGATATTTTCAGCTACATTCGATACTCAAGTGTATGTGCCAGAGCAGTCAGAAGTGCCCTGAAGCCTGAATTGAGGCAAGAAGCAAGTAAACGAGGAGATGCAACTATAATTAAAGCAACCAAATTTGAGGGCGGAAAGCCAGTTGGTCAGTATACCAGAAATTATTTATATTAAATACCTTTTTATAGTAATACTAGTATTAAAAAAACCCCAAAAACACGCCAACTTTTAATATAAAAGAATTAAAACAGCAAATATAAATTATGTAAATGGACCTTTTTTTTTATTATTTTCAATTAATGGTTAATTGCAAGTAACTGCCAGGCTAACAAGTGATATTTTTAGCAAGTTTCATAAGATTTTAATATCCAAATAATTAGTGAAATTTATTTTTTCAGTTAGAGTTAACATTTTTAACAAATAATGAAAATTGCAGTGTTGATAAACTTATATGCCTATATAGGTAAAGAAGATGCATATGGCGGAGTCTAGGTAATCAAGTTCGCATACAGCTTGGATTACATGCATGGATGAAACCCTTTTATTGCATTCTCGTATCTCATTATTGTTGTGTTGTTATCACTATTTATTATTTTATTGTGTGTACATGTTTGTGGCATTTTTAATTCTGTAGATTTGATCTTTTCCAACTCGGGGTGGTTCCAGTATTTCTAAATAAATACTTCATAACCTCTCAGTCTGATCCCCAGTCTGATCCCCTTTCAAAATTCCATTTTATTTTTATTGCCATTGGCATACACATTTTTTCTTTGGGGTCCATATGCCACTTCATGGAATGGCACTGAGGTGTCACATTCCATGATATTAACCGCCATATAAACACATTCTGGGGATGTTACAAAATTCTAAATTTTACCAGTTCATGTTAAATGATGAATTCTGCTAAAGCCAGTGCTAAGGGGCGTGGACAGTAACTTGCACTTTCCAGTACAGTGAGTACCGTCCATAAACAGGTTTGATTGTTTATCCATAAACAGGCTCAATCAAACCAAGCCTGCAACATTTTCAATTTTGTCGTTTTGGGCGTTCTTTAAGGATTCCGTTTTCTTTATTGCATTTTCTTTTGTCTTCTGAGGCAAACATGTACATACTTAATTGTGATAAGCTTTTATCATCCAAAAATATCAAATATATTAGATTTAATATCTTCTAAGTTACTAACTTGGGACTGTTTTCCAATGCAGCTTAAACTGGTTTTCTCTAGAATGATTCTTTATGATAAATCTTAATGAACTCGTGATGGTTTATCATGTGGTGATCAGACTAGAACATTTATATTTATATATGAAGCACTCTCATTTTTAACAGATGATGCTTGTTAATAAATAGGCATGCTTTGTTATTTATCCAATTATCCATTAGTAGAAAGGTAACATTGGATAATATTATCCTAAAATTATATTAAACATAAAAATAAATCTTTACAGATAGTTATATCATGTATTCAAGACATATGGATCTTTTGAATTTCAAAACAAATGTACTTACTTAATATTGACTGTAATAAATAGTCATAAAAACAAATCTCTAACAAAATTTTACAAGATTTAACTTTCTTTTTATGTGTATATAACATGTACACCCCAAGTCATTTCCCCAACACGGATTTGGACCTTATGTTACAAAATATATAAGCAAGATGCGGTTAAATTTCTAAAGTTACTATTCAATTGTTTTGATTTACTATATTCGTCTGCTATGTAAAAGAATACAAAAGAGAAATGTTCTGGATTAGAGAAAAAAATTGTGAGGGTAATTATTAGAGCAGACAAGTAATGTGCTCGGAAAATTGTGTGCATTTTGATTCCCTGTTAAAATCTTAGAAATTGAAATTTGTGAAAAAACTTGAGCTCAAAGTTAAGTTCTGGTTATACAGGGGTTTTAAATCTTTAATTTTTTAAATAAAGCCATTACTGCATTG